AATAAAAAAATTAGGAAAAAAACTAGAAGAAAAACTCTTTTTTCACAAGTTTTGATTATTATTTTTTTAGAATTTTTTTATATTAATTATAGTATAAAACATATATTTACATATTTTTATTTTCCTAATTTTGTTTTACATTTTATTTACTTTTTTTATACACTTTGTAAAAAAAAAAAACTTTTTTTTTTCTTGTCAGTTTATATCAAGCAGTCACTATGACTGCTTGATAAATTAACTTTTTTTTTAAAAATGTTGGCAATAATGCTGCTCCAAACTTAGGAACAGCTAATAATAACCTTAGAGACTGATCCTGACTTCAGTCAGATTCAGATCTCACTAAAAGCTCTTTGATCGTGCCTAGACGATCAGAACTGATACATTTCACTGAAAAGATATACATTGTATCTTTTGAGTGAAATGTATCTAAACATCGGGCTCTCGAGCTATCAAAACAAATAGCAGAGAGGCGAGTCACTGCTACCTCTCTGCTATTTTCAGCTGTCAAATACAGGATCGCAAATTGCGGTCCTGTATTTGCATGTAACGGCTTCATTCTTTCATTACTGAAAGGAAGAAGCTTTTACAAAAAATGACCTCTTTTATTTCAGTTTTAAGGTAAGAAAAGTCAAATAAATGTATAATATAAGGAATGTATAGAATAAGGGATATAAAAGCTGTACAGCATGCAAGGTGGGAGTATAGAAATATAGATTACTGCAGACTGGTGCTCCACTTTTACATCTTAGCCCTTAAAATCAACCCTTGGCAAAATCCTAACCCTCAATTGAAGCTTGACCCAAAAAGAGGCTCTTGTCCTTTAAAAATCCTTAACACTAACCCAATCTCTAAAAGGATCACACCTATATTTTTAGGTAACTGCAGTGGTAGAGCCAAGACCTCAGAATGTCATATTTTGGAGGGGCACTGCTAGCACTTTGGGGACAGGACCAGTAAAAATAAAACTAGCAAGTATTTTCCATATTAGTTTGTGCATTTTGGTTTTCTAAAAATAAAAACTTCTAAATAATATTCTTTAACCCCTTCATGAATGAGCTAGTTTTCAGTTTCTGTTCATAAATGACTGACACACTTTTTACATTTTTGCTGTGTGATTCTTCCACAGCAGTAATATACTTTCTTACTAAACTTACCCATTCATATTATATATTGTTTTTTAGAGGACGGATAGGGCTATATAATTATATCACATATGTGTACCTTTCCACAGCAGTAATATACTTTCTTTCTTAATGAATGCCTCAATACTGAGGCATTCATTAATGTCTGGTAACTGCTGACAATCAGCTGTTACCAGCATTACGAAGCCTGATATAACTCGTCACATACAGTGTACATGGCCAGTCATATAGGCACAAAGTGCCAGGACGTACACTGTACGTCTCCCGTCACGAAGGGGTTAAACATAAGATGGACAGATCCTTCATCTTGAAGTCCAGCTCCAGCCAAACTTGCTTGTTTTGTTTTGGATGGGGTGGGAGGTTACAACTTGCTGTTTTATTGGCACCTGCCCTCGCATTGGGTAGATTATTATTCACTTCAACTTCTGTGCCACTGACAGGAAATCTCACCAATGGGGATAAAGATATCAACAAAATCACCTTTTCTTAGATGAGTGGGGAAAGATTATTATCTTTGTCAGATTTTTATTGTAATCTGCTTATTCTTATTCCAGTTACCCCAATTCCTGAAGACACAGGGATAAAAGGTGAAAGGAATTCTTCCTGATTATGTTATATACAGCAATACAATGTTTGCCAGGTGTTGGGCTTTAATTGAGTTGTAAGGAATAATCTTTATAACAAATACCAAATGACAAACAGCAAGTTGTTCTCGAAATTATGGCAAACTTTCTAGAATCTTCCAATACAAGATTGACAGATTATTTTAATAAAAATACAGTTGTAAATTGTGTATAATCTAATATTCATGAAGGAGGTATGTATTTTCCGTAGATGCACTTCAATCATAGCTTAGAATGGTTTTCTGGACAGATACTTTATGTCACAAATATAGGGCGACTACACTGACAGCAGAAGATCAAAGCAAATGGATGGCTATAATCCAGTCTGGACACAGGCAATTAAAATATAAAGATACTTACTTTCAAAAAACTCATCATAGTCTATTCTTTCTACGCAGCAGGTATATATACGCAGGGCAGCAATTTTAATTTTCTGTAAGAATAAAACACAAAAAAGGAAAAAAGGTTATCAAACCATATGTTAATAACAATACAATTTATAAAATGCATGCAATAAAATTGCAAAATCAGTTAAAATAAATATTAAAGTGTATTTCCACTTTTGCAGCCAAATTGGGATAACAAACTATTTTATATTTATTTGTTACATGTTCCCATTCACATAGCATAAGCAAAAAAAAATGCATCTTGCAGTTTAAATTGCTTTTAATTGTGTTAGGGTTTTAAGGGTTTAAATTTCTTCTTGTTTCTAATTCTTTGAAATGTTAGGAGGGACTGTGAGGGTTCTGAGCTGGCTTGCCCAATGTAAGTTAATAAAGCTTATTAGATAAACAAAATCCTAAAATTTCAGTCCCAAGCCTTTCCATTAGGACAGACCACTGTGAAATGGCTGAGAAAAACCTGGAATCAGCCATCTTTCTTGCGTTAACAAAACATCTAAAAAGGTAAAAACATGTTTTTAAGTTTTGTTTTTTTTAGTATGCTGTGTGAATAGGAACACATACCGGACATATAGAGGGGTATTCTCAAGTTTAACTGTAAAAGTGGAAATACACTTTAAATGGGATCTAAATCCAAAACTAAAAGGCAATACATTGCAGCTTACAGGTTTAGTATAATTTTTTTCGGGTTTTTCCCCCTCTATTTTCACCTGATGATCCTGCCAGTAACACCCCCCCCCCCCC